GTTTAGGACTTAAGCTCCTCACAAATATGGGTAAATTTATTTCCACTGTTGTCCTCAATGGCAGGGTGGCATTATCCCCACTTTACACAGGCAGAGCTGAGGCACAGTGAGATTAGGGTTATATGGTCCATCTAATATGGTTGTCCATGTTGCAATGCCTTTGGCTTAGTTACAGAGCTTAGTCAAATATATTTGCAACATTTTTATGGTCTCACTGGCTACAAATACAGCCCTGCATGCTTATTTTTACTGCAAATCGCAGCAAAAATGCGTATTTGGCACCCAAATAGCAAGAAAAATGCTCCCACTTCTGCAAAAAAAATGATGACCTCTGCGAAGTTTGGATTGAATGGGCACCTCAAATGCATTTTTTTCATATTCATAAAATATGAGAATATGAGCCTGAGGCACAAGCAGAGTTAGAAGTCAGTTGTGCATGTGTTGTAGACCACTTTCTCCCCTTGCTGTTTTTCCTGTCGTTCACTAGACACCCAAATGTCATTTGCAACAAAATGCAGAGCCTTCTTCATTAGGCAGCCTTGATTAGGTCAGTGCAGACATCTGCATAGCAGGAGTGAAAGCAGCAGTGATTAACGTGGGGATTTGCTTCTGCTCAGAGCAACGCAGACCACTGCATGTTTAGCAAAACCTAGAAAATATGTTAACCCAGATCTTTTGAGGAAGCTTGATTAAGTCAGTAAAAACAACCCTAAGTCCATCCCTTTCTGTAAAGCAGATACATACCACAAACTATGGATATATATCATTGTCCTTCATTATCAGAGGATGCAGAATATGAGCAGTGGCCTAAAGAGATCTCAAGTGAGTGGACATGGCACACTCTTCATTGTAACAGGCCCGTGGCACCGGGCGAGTCTGGCCCAGTGTCTTGGATGATCAAGCTAAGTGCTCCAAATTGCTTCATTTTCCAAAAACATAATCAGCATCATGAAGACAAGGAAGAATCCTGATTTTTAAACACCAACGAATATACTAAGCAGGTTGATCAGATAACGCAAAGACCAGATGAAAGGTTCTGTGGATAAGAAGTAGGTAGTGACTAAGAGAGATATTTAAAGACTAATTCATTTGTGCACATGACATATTGAGGTCACTTTACATTTTCATCTCCTACCTTCCATTCATATCTGCATCCATTTATGCCTTTAAAGCAACTCTGCCTTTTCTTAACCTCTTATCTATCAGAGATTTCCTCCCAAATCTGAATGCCTGTTTTGGACAATTATTGAGAAACTGCTGCAAGGTTTTTTTCAGAGTTCTTTTATGTTTTATTGTTTTGACTCTGCATTTTCTGTCCAGAGAACAGCTGACAGCTCTCTCTCCTAGGAATTTCCATAATTTTTTCAGAAGGGGAAAGGAGGGTGTTTTGGGTTTTGTGCTTAATATATGAAATGGGATCATTTATAAGCCTTGTGCTAAATTATAGGAACAAAACCATGTGTTTTGAACTTTGAGTTTGCTCTTGACAGGTATGCAGTATGCTAAGATATTCCTTTAGTGGTCAGAAAGTTACTTTTCTACACCAGACTTTTAGTGAGAAATTATTCAGCAAGCCAAATAGGAATTTCATATCACATTTCATAGATTTTGACCATTAAAGATATTTGTTGCAAAGCAGTCACTAATGTCCCATAAACAATCTAAGAAAGAGATTAATTGTACAGTAGAACCTTGCTGCATGGTGGCCAGATATACTCATCCATCTATCTATCTATATCCATCTATCTATCTATCTATCTATCTATCTATCTATCTATCTGTCTATCTACCATTAGTTATATCTTTGTTATTCATTGCAGTAATAAATACATTGATATGTTATATTACTTTATATTGAGAATGTAAGAAGGCCATGTAGGAAAAAATACAGCAAAAATTTTTAACACCTTCAGATTTTTGTTGCAAATTGCACTAACCATCTCTAGCTAATAGGAACTTGACTTCTCCCCCAAACACAGCTTTTACATCATACATTTAATCTGTTTAATTAGTGGTTTAGATAATAAATCAGTTTTCTATCAGTCTGTTTTGTCATTGCTGATGAAATTATTGTAATGTTGGACTTAGCAAGTAAAGGAACTCTGTTATTTTACCTTGTTTTAAGAGCTCTTCTGTATTTGTGTTCCATACCAGATGTCACAGTAATTATTATCTGCAGACAGGAATGCCAACTCTGCTCTAAATGTAAAGCTTTTCTAAAAGCATTATGCACTGAACGGTACAAACTACTCTTATGCTCCAGTATATTAATACTTTGAAATTGCTTCTTGTCTTAAGAACTCCTTGCAACTATGATTGTGGAACTGAAAACTGAAATTTTCAGAATTAATCAGATCTGGAGATCAGATGTTACCTGCCTTCCTACTTAGCCTAGATAATTAAGGTTGTAAGAGTTTTGTTGGGCTTTTTAAATGGAAGTATGGTTTTTTTTCATTTTCATTTGCTCTGTATGCAAAGAAAAAAACAACCCAAAACCCACTATTTCAAAATTACAGCAATTTTATTTTTTCTTCTAAAAGTAAACAAAATTTGGCCCTCACTCTTTAGTTTAAGTAAGAATACCTTCAGCAAATGAAATTTTGGATGGATTTTTATTTCTTCAAAAGCCAAATCTTATCAAACTCCCAGTCTCTGTTAGCACTTGTAACTGATCTTTTTAGTCAGAAAGGAACTTGGGGCTCTTCTCACTTCAGCTGAGAAAGAGGAAGAAGAACAGACCATGGGTGGTTTTGTGGAGTGTGCCTGTTATTGCACAATTAGCTCATCATTCAGTTCTGCTGGTCTTGTTGGGGAGCAGGGCAAGTTTGAATGAAAGGCAAAAGTGAGGAAATAGGTGTTGCTGGCATGTTAGAGGAGCCCTGCTGAACAGTGTTAGTATGAAAGGTTTACATAGAAGACAGGACAGTAAGATATAGAGATCTGGCTTTAGCAGCCTAATTCTAACAATTTTCTGCTTTTCAATTTCTTCTAAATCATTATGGAGCAATTAAAGCAATAAATTACACTCATTGGAAGTGCAATACATTCCAGTGCCATGATTCTGCATATGTGAGGCGACTACCTAAACAAAAAAACCCCAGACTGCTAAGATTTGGGAAAAAACCCTTATTCTTATTTCATTGAAGCCAATTTTGTATTCCACTTGGTCAGGAAAGACTTCAGGATCAAGGTGGCTTTGTAAGTAATTCTGTGCAGGAGTTTTGAAGAAAGCAGAATGACAGACTTCATTTATAGCACAGCTAATTTTCTAGAAATTTAACAGAAGTAGCAGTCAGTTTGGCCAAGTGTATGAGTAACCTGGGAAAACATATCTGCATGTATACAGTCTCAGAAGATCCATACCAAGATTTTTTTCATTTTGACACTCAGTAAGGCCTCAAATCATACTATTACTTAGTCAAAAGATCAAAAAGTTTATTATTGTTAGGATTTGGTGAGGAAGATCACGAAACCAGCAGTATGGATTATGCCCCTTCAGATGTTTGGGTTTATGTAACTGGTAAGACTGCTGGGTCTTTGGAGGATGTGTTCCAGTAAAATTAGGATCTTGGAGATAGGACATATATTTTTCATTAAGAAATGTGCAAATTGTTGTTCAAAGTTCAAACTGAGCTCTTCTCATAGCATGGAGAGATCTGTATGACTGAATTAATTTTATCCAGACTTGTCTCTTATTGGTTTTACCTGACATTAATACCAATATTTGAAGTAAGCGGTATAACAATATATTATAGGTAAGTTACAGCAGTCATGAAGTACTAAAAGTGGAGGAACTGGAGGGCATGTTGTAATGAGATATCCAGTGCTGACATTATATTTTAGTCTGCTGTTAATGGTGGGGTTCACAAGCATTTGTGTCATTACTGAAACCAGACCAGTAATTATTTGCTGACCACTTCCACAGGGTGATGTCACTGATCACCAGGTTTAGTTACAGTATAGAAAAATTATTGGTAAAAAGAAGTCTGAAAAAGAATTGATTTTCTATTATACTGCATTTAAGCGTACTTTCTATTGCAAAAATTCAACAAGACAAAAGCAGTGTGTGAGTAACAACGGGATCACAGTTTCTGAAGCTGGTCTGGAGCAGTGCTGGCATTGCAGGGGTCTAACATGGAACTGCACAGTGACACTCAAACATTGCAGCCATTGTCAACCCAGACTGCAAGGCAAGAGGGACTGGCACCTGCTCTATTCATAACTGCATGACAGAGCTGTAGGGGTTTTTTTCTGTGAGTTTCTTTGAGGTGGTTAGGAAATCATTTGTATCAAGGTCAAAATTATGTCAAAGGATGTCCACTGGAAGCTGAAGTCAGTGTACTGCTGGATGCAGATGAGCTATCTCCATCTGAATTGTTTAGGCTGATCCTGACACCCTACTTTTTCTCCTTTCTTCCTTTACTAATTTTTCTCCTAAAAGAAACACATCATTGCTTTAAGTGCATTAGACCCTCAGAAGTGACTTGTCATATTATGGGTATCAGCAGAATTAACTGTCTTGAACAGAGGAATTTTTTAAACACAAAATATCTTGTTTTATCTAAGTTATAAACCTTTGAAATGGAAGTGTTGTCTTAAAAAGCCTATAGTGTGGTAGTAGCACTATATCTGCCTCTATAACAAGAACCAGAGCTGCAATTAAAAATCCTTGTTATTTGAAGTGATGTCAGACTTTTGTAGTACTGATTATAAAAGCAAGCAAGACATTTTTAGACATTGTCTCAAAGTTTGTCAATTGGTAAACTGAAATACCATAAATGCAAGGGCTCCTGATGTGGAAAAAGATGTGTAAAATTAAAACCAAATATATCATGTACACTGACAATATCCAAAAGAGTTTGACTGCCTATGTGTGTACTTATATACATGTGTATTGTCTTTGCATAGATACTCACACATACAGAAGATACTGTAGTGCTTCAAATTTCCTTCCATCTATAAAACTAATTGAAAATTATTTCTTTTTGTTCTTCTCACAGCTGAATTTTTATTCCTCTTGTGGGGTGTTTATCTCTGCTATGCAGTGCGGACAGTCCCATCAGCATTTCATGAGCCACGTTATATGGCTGTTGCAGTTCACAATGAGCTCATTATCTCTGCTATATTCCATACAATTAGGCAAGTGATCTGTAGATCTAGTAATTAACCATTTATCTTTCAGGTTTCCTATGGTGCAACTTAGAGTGGGTAAATGGGATAGGATAATGTAAAGTCTTATAAATATTTGTTTCTGCAAATTAAGTGCTTACTAAACTTAAAACTGTTCCCATGAGATCCAAGAATATAAAATTTTATAATTAGGGTTTTTTTTCAGTATAGTTAGCTGATATTAGATCAAAATTCAGTATATATGATAAATTAGGTATAGCAAACAACTGTCTTCAGTCATCTACATACCACTCACTGTTTTGTATCCCTAGAAAAACAGCAGGTAAGAATGTTGGTTTGTATGAACTTTTGCTGATGTGTAATAGATTGGTGAGCTGCAGCTATGTGTTAAGATTATTGTACTGGTTTGGGCATGAAGCACAGTGTTTTATATGCTGACATAAAAAATTGTTACACATATGATGCTGTATCAGTGATATAAAGCCCATGTTTCTTCTGAAGTCCGTAATGAGCTTTGCATTTCATACTTGTAAATTATTTGGGTAGTAACAAATAAATAAGGGTCTTTGCTAGAGCTACATGAAAATTTACTAAATCTGGCTTTCCTACAGAGTACCCTGTAAAAATGAATTGGTCCTAGAAAATGCAAAAGAGGAAGATAACATGAGTTTCATCTCATCCTGTAAAAATTCTTAAGACTTTCTTCTGGCATTCTCACACCTTCTTTTGCCTAACAGACTTTATCTACTAAGATATTTTTTTATTTTTACATTACTTCATTGACAGTCTTCAAATACTCTTCTCTGTTCCTTTGTCTGTCTTGGCACTAACATTTCTACTTATCTTCTTGATTTTTGATTTCATGGTTTTTTCTGAGTAAACATCAGCAAAGCAAATCCTTCATCTCTGTTCCTCCGTGGTGCTCCTTTCTCTTATCTTTGTTATACAGTTCACTGCATTTTTCAGGCATGCCATTTTTTTCCCCTCCTCTTCTCCTAACCCTGTATTTCAACACCCACATACACTCAAAATCTATACTCCCTAACACAAACATCTGCAAAGTTATTTTTTAAAATCTTTATTTGATGGCAGCATTTTCCTTTTCATGCCTGATAGATGTAACATTCACTTACAATACTTTTGAGTTTATTATTACCAATGTGACAGTTTCTCAGTCAATTTTCCCCCCATTAATTTATATTCCTAAACTGTGTGTTGAGCCATGTTAGAAGACACAGTTCAGAGGTATTTTTGTAGGCTGCAAGTTTCTTTTAACAATAGAACAGGAGGCAAGTAACCTTGGTTGAAAGAAAGGGGAAAAGGGGAAAATGTGGCATTTAATACTTTTAATTCTTTATGAAGGAGACACAAAGGATTAAGTCTTTCAGTTTGTCTTACTAACAATCCTGGGCCTGCAGCCTAAGGTCTGCTGATCCTATTCTTCCTTTTTTTTTTTTTTTAATGTACATTTTGCATTGATTCTTTCCCATCTGTCTGATATATGCTGGTTTGTTGAAGAAATATTGTGTAGTGTTTGTACATAAGATTGAAAAAAATGTACATGACCCCTCCTGAGATTATGTCCATTTCTTCATGCCCAGCTCTTAATCCAAGTTCTGGATGCAACTGAAAGGGTGGAAATGTAAAACTTAGATTTATATGACATACCTGAATTGTCATGAAGTGAAAGTACTGGATCCTGCCAAGTTCTGGATGCAACTGAAAGGGTGGAAATGTAAAACTTAGATTTATATGACATACCTGAATTGTCATGAAGTGAAAGTACTGGAGCCTTGAAGGACACCTACAAGGCAGCCATCCAGTCTGAAAACTCCCAAAGCTCATGGAAGATTGATGTGAGCACTAAATAAAACCTTGAACTGTTTGCATTTTGTTTTCCTTTGAAAGTATTCCCATTTCAGAAACAGAGGATTCTGGATTATCTTCAGATCATCATAATATTAAATTTCTGCATTGCTCTTTCTCTAATATTAGTGAAAAACCCAGAATTTATCTGGAAAAAAATCTCATTCAAATTGAAATCCTATCTTTTCTAGGGCTGAATGGCTACTACAAATGTGATTTTGCATTCAGAGACGTGGCATGGCATGAATACCTTAATCAGTCAAGGTCTTCAGCATAAAGCAAGCAAAAAAGCCTTCACAGAATCTGAGGACTGGATCTGTTAAAGGTTAAGCAGATGCAGTGGCCATGAGGATATGGATGCTTTCTCCCATCTGTCTGATGGATGTGGCCGCTGCTGGCTCCATTGCAGGTTGAGCAAATCCACGGTGGGGCAGTCACACAGCAGCTGGCTGGCCACAGGGGCCAGTGCAGGTCCCACACACAGCCTGCTCCCGTTCCTCCTCTGCAGCTGGGCCTGGGCTGACGCTTTGGGTCTTCCCAGGGGCCAGCCACGTGCTGCCTGAGCTCAGCTTTGTTCATCAATTGCACATGCACCATGCAGAGAGTGGTATCACACGTAAGGGTTTAACAGAAGATGGGAGATACGTCAGGTACAGAGCTCAGTGACAACTTGCTTACATGTCACTAGCCATTTTCTCCCTCCCTTCTTTCCATGTTTGTTTTTCCCTCACCTACCTTATCCTCTATCTGTCCCAGTCCTTGTCTTCCAAATAAACAACCCACCTTCTTTATTTTCTTCCTACTGGTCACAGTTTTCCTACATGTGTACTCAAATTTGGAATTTGTGATGCCATTATCTAGGTAATCACAGTCTTATCTGCTGTTGCTGATATGGTTACATCAGTGCCACTGACCTTGCAAGTTCTGCTCCCTCAGAAGTCCTTCAATTACCTGTGAAGTTTGGCCCTCTTTCAAATGACTCCCTATTAACCACCTGTGAAATCTTGCCATCCCTTACAGCACTGGCTGTAACTTTTGTTCACTTTTTGCACTGTTATTTATTACATCCATCAGTTTCTCATGTTATCTTCATCAGTGCAGTTGTGTTCAGTTTGCTAAATCTCAGGCCCAAGCCTCCTCATGTTCCCTCACACCCCAAAGCAACAGGATCTCTCAAGGAATTAAATAATCTGGATATTTTGTTGTGTTCATAAAACCTTGCATTTACAAAGTATTAAACAAGTAATTATGACTGTATTATTACAGCACGTAAACCAGTGTTTCATGCCAGACTATTTCTGTTAACAAAAGCTTCTTCAAAATGTGCATCTGTGAACTTGGATAAGTTGCAAATGTCATTTCTATTGAATGATTTTTGTTAACCTGGAAATTGCAAGCCGCAGTACATCCGCTCATCCGTTGCACTGCTTACTGCTCCTCTCTTTGGGAGCTCACTAAAACAGACAAGCCAAGCATGCCTCAGCTTTAACTGCACTGCTTCTTCTACCACTCCTTTAGAAAGCTCAGCAAGGAACTGTTTTGTTTGACAAGTTCAGCCACTCATTTCCAAGCATTCACAGGCTCTTGGATCCCACAGCAGTGAGCTGGGCGGTCCTGCTATAAAGATCATTTCTCTGCTCCCTGCTAAAATGCATTTCAGTTCAGTTCTTCCTTGGATGGCTTATCAGCTGTACTCAATAGCTGTGATCTGTGGACATCCTGTGTTTATAAAGTGCACTGCAATTCATCATAGCACATGTGCTTAACCTAAAACCATCCCTTCAGCTCCTTGATGTATGTAAGCTGCCATAACTCAGGCCAAAGAAACTGTCACAATATACACAAACCAAAAAGACAGCTCAACAGAGTGAGAAATATGGAATAAGCAGTATCATTTAAGGTGTGTTGTTTCTTTTTATATTTTGGTTTGTTGATTGGTTTTTTTCAGAGTTGTTTTGAAATTTTAGTATATAGGGAAACTGTGGATGTAATTTTTAGTCTGTATGAAAGCAGTAGAGAACAAAACCAATTGTGTTTGGCCATTCAGTGAAAAGAAACCTAAGGAATACTAATGAAATTAAATCTAATGCACCGGAGAAATGCAGTGAATTGCAACCCTGTATTCTATTTTCAGATTTATTCTTTCTTCAAGACTTCAGTCTGACTGGATGCTGATGCTGTTTTTTGCACACACACATTTGACTGTGACAGTTACTGTCGGGCTACTTCTGATCCCTAAGGTATTTGAGTCTGCTCTCTCTTTTCTTTTGCCAAGTCTAAGGAAGAGAAATGTTGTTATGCAGAAGCATTTCTGTGTAAATCTAGCAGCAACTGATAGAAAAGGAGGATGTAAAATTTGGCTATTTTGCCTTGAAAGCTGTATTGTTTTTATTTTTTAAAAATACACGTTTTCAAAGTTTCTTTCTTTCTTTCAGATTTCAAAATTCCAGTAGTTTAAAGTACTAAAAATGTTGATATGATTAATACAAGAAGGACAGAATCCTGCCTAATTGTGCTTTTTTTTTTAGGTATTTGTATGATCATGCTGCTGCTAAAGTTAGCTGAGAACAGACAAAATTTAGGCAAGGGCATAGAACCACTGGACTCTTGCAAGCTGGACTAGCCATGAGATGGGGAGGTAGAGATTTAAACCAGGCAGTTACAGGCTGAAAAAGGAGAATCCTTTGCAAGTCAGAGCCTGGGACAGAGAGATGCTGCACTGGGAGGAGACATGGCCATGGCAGGGAGCCAGGAGCAGTGCTGGCAGCAGGGAGATGGTGATGGCAGGAGCCAGGGAAGGGCACAGAAAGCCCCTGAGCTGCAGCCCAGACAGCTCCTGGAAGCCCCAGTGTGGTCTCACCAGGGCAGGAGATCTGCAAGTGGCTCCTCCTGGCCGTAGCAACAGTCCCCAGGAATGGAGTGGAACTTCCTTCTGAGGACAGTACCCCAGCAAAAGGAATGACTTTCTAATGGGTTTTGAAATGACTGATCATATTAATCAAAAGCTCAAGAGTCAGAATAGCAGTAAAGGTGAAAGCTAGATATGAAGAAGGAGCATTAAGCAGTTCAGATTGATAGAATTTTCAGGTTAATGAAGCTGCTATTCCTGCCTTTTTCCTGTGTGTCAGAACAGGGTAGGCTGATGGCTGTGAAATATATGTACACTGAACAGTCATAACAAAGGACCCATTGATGCAGCCTTAATACTGCATAACCTTGTTTTATTTTAAATTACTTTCTGGTCTTTAGAAATAATATATTTTCTATTTTATATTTATGTACTTTATTACATATCTTCAGAGATATTATACATCTTCAGAGGTGTCTTTTTAAACTAGCCTAGAAAATTTGTTGACCTTTCTGAAGCTGACTCATAACTATGGATCAGCATTTTGATTTTTGGCTTATTATCTGTGTTTCACTGCACAGACTTTTCTTCCAACACACCAGAGAATTCAGAGAATTAAGATTCACAAGGTTTAGTTCTATTCATAAAGTCCTGAAGACAGATGACTGTGTGAACAATAGTAAATTCAGATGAGTGAATCAATATGAACAAAACAATAATGACAACCTCATTCCAACTCCTGATTCAAGGATCTGGTGAAACATAGAAGAAAAAGTTGTCTACTTTTTCATTAGTTTCTTTCTTTTTTTTTTTTTTTTTTTTTTTTTTTTTTTCCACCTTCATCTTCCTTTTCAGGATTGGGATCTAAAATAGGGGAATTGCTTTCTGCAGGATTATTAAGATGTGTATTGTATAAAATGGCATTTTACTGTTTTAGCAGCCTTATTGAAAATGTCTGAAAGTCTATTTTTATGCCAGCTTAATTGAAATGCCATTTAAAGAGTTTCAAACAGATGTCAAAATAAGTAGGGATTTTTTTTTCCTTATGAAAATTTCTAAGATTTATCATGTTAAGCCATCATTAATAAGAGTTCCTTCCATACAATACTGAGACTTTATAGGACACTACTTAAGCCAATGAAACTTAAGTAATGTTTTGAGTTTGAGAATCATACAAATCTATAGAAGGGTCATGGTACCATAAAATTGTCGTAAGCTCTTACGTGTTGAAGTAAACTTTTGCACTCATGGCAACATTTTTTTTTGTGTGCATACTTATTGCAGTTTTCACATTCAAGCAATAACCCAAGAGATGATATAGCTACAGAAGCTTATGAAGATGAGCTTGATATGGGTCGGTCTGGATCCTATCTGAACAGCAGTATCAACTCAGCGTGGAGTGAACATAGTTTGGATCCTGAAGATATTCGGGTACATAGAACTCATTTAAATAGCATTTGTTTTCAAGGACACTTTTTCCTAGAAGAAAACTCCAACTTGCATGCATTTGTTTCTCTTTGTAGATATCAGCTGAAAAATGCCAGCTTAGATCTTTTATGATTGTTGTATCAGGTCATGTAAACTCTCATGTAGTATGTACTAGTGTGAAGAGATGCTGCATCACTAGTTGTAGTAAAAGTCATAGTGGTGGCTAAGGAGGAGGAATCATCCTCAGCAAGAGCTGTTACTCAGTTTACATAGATTCTTTGAATTATTTTGAAGTGCAAACAGCTTTTGGTTTCAGTTTAATTAGTCATTTGTATGTAACATATACATAAGCATACATAACTATGAAGATAAACATTTAAAAACTTGATTAATGGAGAAAATTACTTTATTATTATTTTACATGATTAAAGGCCTTATGTTCTCAGACCAAAAAACAGCTATAGAGTTCAGCAGGAAAGCATGCACCACAGCATTGTGAAATCTGAAACAGCATAAATGAGTATGAAGTGTGCATGCCGTGGAAAGTTACACGTTTGTGCATAAGAGTTGAACTTCTTTTAAGTGGAAAAAATGGGATTCAAGTTGATGGAGAAATTGCGTATTCAAGAATTAGAAAAGACAGTGAAACGAGTTTAATGCCCTTTTTAGAGCAATAGGTCTTGCATTCATCAGTCTGCTTGTTTGACTGTAGTCACTGTGTAAACACTAGTTTTGCCATTCACTTTGCTTTGCAGGATGAGTTGAAGAAACTATATGCTCAGCTTGAAATCTATAAAAGGAAAAAGATGATTGCTAATAATCCACATCTCCAGAAAAAAAGGTGCTCTAAAAAGGGCTTGGGGCGCTCGATAATGCGGCGTATTACAGAAATCCCTGAGACAGTCACCAGGCAGTGCTCCAGGGACGAGAAGGACCTGATGGAGCACAGTGCTGTGAAGAACTTGGCCGCACTGAAGAAAAACCCACCGGATTCCACGAGTTCTGCAAAGCCAAAAGAAGATACTTTGAAAAACAGAGTCTTTTCCTTAAAAAAGTCCCACAGCACTTACGATCACGTTAGGGATCAAACAGAAGAACCAAATGGCTTAACTACAGAAAGTGCAGAAGTTATAGCTTCTGAGAAAACACTTCTGGACTCTTTGAATGGTAACAAATTAACCAAAAATGCTCCTGAAAAGGTTGAAGCTGTCTCTACTGAATCGGTCCCTTTGGTGTGCAAATCAGTAAGTGCGCATAATTTAAGTGCCGATAAGAAGCCTCTGCATCCAAGAACATCTGTGTTACAAAAATCCCTCAGTGTTATTGCTAGTGCCAAGGAAAAGACTCTGGGACTCACGGGTAAAACACAAAGTCTAGAAGAAAGCACTAAATCTCATAAACCTCAGCAGAAGGGTAAGGAGGCCAGCAAAAAGCACTCAGCCTCCGATAAAGGGGAACATAAGGATTCCCACCGGAAAAACTCTACCCAGTCTGAGGAAACAAAGAAAACCCATAAATCTGGAATTATTAAACAGCAAAGGGTTGGTCAAACACCTGCAAATCCAGACACAGGCCCAGGTAAGTCTCTGCACAAGGAAAATTTCAACATAGGAGAAGTTTGTCCTTGGGAGATATATGACCAAGTTCCTGGTCCTGTGCCTTTTGACTCTAAAGCTCAAAAACATGTGTCTATTGCTTCCTCAGAGCCAGAGAAAAACCACCCTTCCCAGCCAAAGGGGAAGACCCATCATAAGCTGAAGACACCTGAGGGGTACCAACAGTCAAATCAAAAGAGCTCAGAGAAGGTGGAAGCAGCCACTCAGGAGACACAAGAGCAGCAGATCTTTGAAAATGAGAAAAATCAGTCAAATTCCCAGGTCTCTCCTGGGCTGAAGTGTGAGAATGTTAATAGGCATACACCTAACACCCGTGCTGGAGAGCGGGAGGAGCTGCCCCAGAAAACAGCAGAAAAGGAAAACCTCAATAAATTGGCTGAACAGAAAAAAATTGCCTCTTCTGAGGGAAATGTGCTTTCATCTAACTCCCATAAGCCAAGTAGTTACGTACAGCAACCTTTAGCATCTCGAGCTGAAGTCTGCCCTTGGGAGTATGATACAGCAGATTTACCAAATGCAGAAAGAAGTGTAGCTTTATTGAACACCTCTGCTATAAGTGCAAATAAAACAGCAGCACCTCGAAAATAAGAGGCTTTTGGACTGAGGAGAGTAGCAACATTGAGAAGACAACAGGAAAGACAGAGGGGACTTAGGACAAAAGGATCTGAAAATTCCTAAGGAGCGTCACTTAAACCAAGGGAATCAGCACTACAAATATGTAGGAGTTAAGCAAAGTAAATTATTGTTATTGTTGTTATTATTTATATGTTGAGTGCCAACAATGTGATTAGCAGTGCCCAGAATATGGTCCCTGCTCCAAGGATTTTACGGTGTCAATGAAAGAAATCTGCCTTTGTGAAATCAATTTTCTTTTAAAAGAAAAAATAATAAGATGATAACAAACGCACAGTGTAGATCTTAACCAAATTATTTCTGGATGATGTAACTGGCTGTAAATTGCCCTTGGGACTTTAAAGATCCAGCAGAAGTGGGACACAGAAAATGTCCTGATGGCAAAAAGGGGTACCAATGAGCAGCTTATTAAAGTGGCGACTTTTCACTTTACATATTTAATCTAAATAGCACTGATAACTCGATGCATCCCAAGAATATTTTATAAAATTATTACTTTCATTTTCTTATTACTGTGTGTTTAAGTACATTGTTGTGTCTCATATTAAAGCATTCCAGATTGTATAATTTTTGCAAATAACTTTGATATTATGTGACACAACAACATATTTATGCAATCTGCAGATACTGTCTTCTAATTCCAAGTTAAAATACCTGCTGTAGACCTTTTTGTTTATATATAGAATTGCAGTAATCTTTCATTGGCTATGGAAGTCATAATTCGTATTGGGAAACTCTTTTGGGCTTTGGAGATTATTTTCTTTTCTTTCCTGTAATTTATATAGTGGGGGTTTTTTTTGTTTGTTTGTTTACTCTCTGTTATTTATATTTATAGTTTGATACTGTATTATTCAGGGGTTTTATATGCAGTAAGTTGTGCACTTCCCTATTAATGCTCATAGACTTTGTTAATAGTGGAAATTCAGTTGTCTTAGCTGCATATACTGGTAGGACAACTTATCTGGGTTTTTTGTTACTAATTGGAAAATATCATCTAAGAGACAAGAAATCTTACTTTAAACAAGATGGTGATAATCTTGTTCAGTATTTCATACTGAGCCTATCCTGTTAAATAAGACAAGCAAGAATGACAGTGAACATACCCCTGAAATGATCACATGTTTTACTAACACCAGCCAGCTCTGGGAGATATTTTATTTATGGAACAACACTATACTGTTTACCCCTGTTGGCAAACCTCAAAAAATTGGCTCTTGGAGTGAGAACTCCAAAATATTACTCTTCCCCCATATATGCAAATGTAAGTGATACTGGGAACGGAAATGATGGCATCGCTCTCCAAATGTCCAAAATGCTTTGACTTTTTTTACATTTATATGTACATTTACAGTAAAAGTTGGTGTTTGATACAGTGCTACTTTTCAGCAATAGCTACAGTCCTCATCGTGCATATGAGCTTAATTCATAGGTGGCCCATTCACAACTATGAGTCTTAGTGACAGTTGATCATCAGGGCCTGAGGACATGCTGAACTCTTCTGAGGAGTATCAGCAGTAATTAAACAGCCCCAGCCATCTCAATGCAGTACCAGTAAAGTGCTGTTCACAGGAATTGGCTGTACGTAGTGTACTCCAAAACAAAGACAGCTCAGTCCTAAAGAACTTCTGCAATTTGAGAGAAGTGATGGGATTTGGTGGAAGAACATGAAATGTGGATGATTGAATGGAATGTGTTGTTTAATATATATAATATATATAAAAATAGATATTTATATATGTTTAATATATATATATAAATGTCATATCTAATACACACATGCACATACACGTATGTAGTATAAACTGACTTTTGTGGCATCATAGAAAAAGTGGCTTAAGAAAAAATGCAATGAGCAGAGGGACTTAGACAACCTAGGCACGAGGATTTTTCTGTCCTTTAAAAAGGAGAGGAGTCTATGGGCATGTCTAGACTGACAGATCAAGATGGATCTGATTTTCCTACTGCCGCTGCTAAGCCCAAACCTGACATGTGCCAACACCTGAGCCAGCTGGGGACAAGTTGACTCAGGTCTTGGTGCTGTCTAAACATGTTACCTCACTTATAAATTCTGCTCATTAGCTCCAGATTAAGTGACTGAACAGCCCCAGCCAACCTGGTTATCCAGGATCGTGCTCAGTTCCACCATGGGGATGTGCTGACTTAGGTCTTTACTACCCTGGGCTTGTCTGACTCTCCCATCCCTCTTTTGTAGGGCATAATTATGGTCTAGGAGATCTGACTGGGACCCTTCAACCCAGAATCCCTGTTCTATCCATGGAAGGGAGTCAAGCATATGAGTCTGGGTGCTTTGGACATCAGTGCACCCACTTTGCACACACAGGGCCACTGGCATCCCATGTGCAGCCCAAATCCAGCTCTGTCCTTGGTGTGGAAAAGAGTTGAGATTAGACCTGGTGTGCTCAGATTCTCCCTTCCCAGTCCCAGAGACTCGTGGGATTTGTCTGTAACTTGTCATGTCAGCTTCAGTGGGACTTGCTCAGATTTTCTGAGAGAAAATATTTGTGAATTTCCTCGGGAAGAAGTCTTTCCTAGGAACAGAGCTTTTTGGGAGGCCTCCAGGAGCACACTGACCTTGTGTGCAGAGAAATACATAATTTTAAATACACCTGCTGAAATGGTGACAATCTTACACCTCTCCTATCCTTGAAGGGAAGTTCTGCAGTCTCAGCAGTGGTTTTGGGGATTGGGATGGGGGCACAGCTTATGGCAGGCTGCCCTGGCTCCTTTAGGGGAGCCTGACTGTGAGGTTAGAAGTGGACATCCACGGAGGGATCATGGAAGGAGATCTTTTTACATACTCACTGCCTCTGGGAGACAGATGGTTGCAAGGAGCAGGTACCAGCCCTCGTGCCCTTGCTCATCTGGCCCTCCATCCTTTACCTCGGAGCTGAGCAAGGCCACACTGCCCATGCCCTGCTCTGCAGGAGCTGTGTAGGGTGCCTTGTGCACCAAGGACGAGGGGCTCCACATGGGCAAAGCGTCCCCCCAGTACCACTGCCCCTTGTGTTCCTGGCAGGATCGAGCCCTTCGTGCATGACTGTGTCTGTGCCACCGCTGTATATCTGTACTTGCTTGGTTTCCTTTCCCTTTCTTTCTGTTTGGGAAGATAACTTCATTAGAAACACAGAAACAAAGCCCACTCCTTGGCTGGTGTAGAACAGCCCAGCTGCACAGAAAGCAAAAAGCAAAGGCTGGTTAACCAGGGAAGGCATTGGCTTGTATATTCTCATTTGGTTTAGATTTCTTTCGTCCTGACCCTTTCCCTCACTTCTTAAAAACTGTCTGTTGTGGTTCTTTAGGCTCATTTTAGTCCCATCCCCTAAGACTGACACAATTGGAAAACTTTCCTTTAGAAAACAAAAAAGCTTTCCGCAGTTTATTAAGCAACTGATCTTTGGGCTACAGATTCAATTGGGACTTAAATTATTTCATATTTAAGAAAATGAGGGGCCAAACTTCACTCAACTATCCTATTTCACTATGATGCTGCTAGAAGCATTGCTTAATGAAGACATACTAAGTTAGACATAAATAATGTTTTGTATTTCATAGATTTTTCTCCACCAGCATATATTGACTAGATTGCTTAGATGTCTTTTTCTGGAATTTCATTGTCATTGTTTAGCAAAGAGAAGTGCAACTCTAGAGTAAAGATGTTATAAAGATGTTCTCTAGCAGATCTGTTAAGAGAAAAGATAATAAACATGAAGGTCACAAACATTTGCTAGGTTGTCCTTCTAAATGCATGTGCAAGCTGCATTTCTCCTTCATTTCTAAGTCATGGTTTATAAGTAATTAGATTTATACCAATCTTATTAGACTTGTATAATTTATGCAAGATTATGCGCTTTAAAATATAAATCAGTACACACCTATCATCAGCTTTGGTGGCATCATAGACCTGAAACCAGACAAGACATATATATTTGCTCTCCTTAGGCTTTTGCATGCATATGACAACAGGCAGGCCTGAGCAAACACTGCCTTTGACTTTTAAAATTTTAGCTACTCCAAGCTGTAGAGTATATAAAGCTGTAAGTCTCTTCACTTTATAATGTGGTTCTTATGACAATGTTATCTGGCAACCAACAGCATCCACCATGAAATACTTGATAGATTTATGTTGTAATGTGTTGCAGCATGTAAATAATGTAACTTCTCTGCAATAAAGCACATTTATATTAAATCTGTCTGCAAGCTTTTGTGTTGTGATTTTCTGAAGTTGTTATTGATCCAAACTGAATGGGTTTCCCATCAAACTTGTAAAGTAACTACCTTTACAGCTTCTATGATCAGATCGTGCCATTACCATTTTCTGGATTTTTCCTTATATTTTCATCAGAGCAGATATGTACTATATTCAGGATTTCATGTTAGGGAAAGAGCTGTGTTTTCTCTGTGGTTGCAATTTTGAGGTCAAAATTGTAGAGTCCATTCTATATTCTTTTGAATCTAATGGTAACTACAATGTTAGAAAACCAGGGGAAATAAATAGACTACATTTTACAATGTCATTGTAAAAACCTATAGCTCATCTATACTTGTATATGTATACATCTGTACTATGTGTGCACATGCCTGAGTTCCTCATCTCAAATATCTGTCTAACAGGTATAGGAACAGTACAAAGAATGGGAACAAAAAACATAAGAGACAGAGAATGGCAGCTCTGTAAGTGTAACTTGTTTACCTTGGGAGAGAGATGACTCAGAAAGAGGGATAGGACCTATAAAAAATTGTGAATGATTCAAAGGTAATTAGGAGTCTGGAATTTGTTGGATTTTGTTGTGCAGGAGCTATGGAACACCCAGGGTGGCCATCACGCTGCAGCTTAAAACAAATGAAGTTTTCTTCTGCATATGTCATAAATAAATTGTGGAGCTTGTTTTAATAGATTGCTGTGCATATCATGGGTTCAAAGAGCATTGGAGAGG